GATACTTATAGTTTGGCAGTTGAGAATGACAAATTGTGCTGACATTTCTTTGAAGAAATATGTAGAAAATTAATTTAATTACGAAGTTCATAGAGTGCATAGTGTTTAGTGATGAAACCCATTTCTGGTTCTATGCCTACATCATTAAAATAAATTGCCGTATATGAAGCGAAAATAATCCTCAAGCCGTTAACGAATTACTATTACATCCATTAAAAATGACTGTTTGGTATGGCACTATCGAGTCATCCTGACCTAATTTTTGTATTCAAAAATTACGATCGCCAAACAATCGATTTATTGCGAAATCAATTTGGTAACAACTATGTTTCCAGAAGTGGTCCTGTTCACTGTAACTAGCCCACTTGTTTGTGCTATTTACCGCTTCTAAATTACTTTTTATTGGGCTATGTTAAGTCCTTGGTTTATGCCGACAAACCAGTAACTCTTGAAGTATTGGAACCTAATGTTCATGGCACTATTGACGCCATACGGCTACATTTATTGCAAAAAATAGTCAAAAATGGGACTGATCGAATAAACCATGTAATGTTTATTAATAAACTAGTATATTGCTTTATAAAATGAATACTTTTTTACTTTAGAATTTAAATAAACTTTATGGTCTTGAAATGTATTTGTATACTTTATTGTCTTTAAAACATTTTGAATAATGCGATTAGTCCAATCTTTAAAATTTACATTAAATTAGAAATTTAAGAAAAATCTAAAGAAGTATGAACATGTTTCAAGAATTTGAATTTACATCAACGTAATTTTCTGACTTGTTAAAATATAATAATAATATGAAAAATCAAATGAATTCATGATTAATATCCTAAGATTAAATGTATGATGCTGTCTATTCGATGGTGTCATTTTTGAGATATTATTTTGAGATTGAATATTTTTTTTAATTAGACTTAAACCCTCGGGTTTGTTTTTTGTTTTTTGAACAATTAAATCTTATCTACATAAGAGAAGAAAATGTTATTACGCAGTCAACTGCACTATTTAATTGAATTCGTCTGACTTCGATCTATTAGTGTTTTGGTTATAAATTAGTGTTTTGGTTTTTTAGTCAGATAGTTTACTTTCTGGGATTTAAATATAGATTTTGCTGGAACGACCAGAATTGCTTGACTACAGTATCTAGCTGCAATATATAGTAAACAATCGAAAATTCTTCTTTTCATTATTTATGAAAGTATTAAGTTAAGATTTAGGTTTTAGTCCGTTTGATAAATACAAACATATAGTTTTAATTTCATTCAATACGGATTGCTAAATATTTTAAACTACTATTGAGAACATTTCCTTTACATATTACACAAATTTAAATCTCTTTTAAAATTCAACTGAAACTCAATCATGTTTTATAAAAGCTTTTAAGTATGTAGAACATTATAATACACCTTTGTACACTGTAACTTATATATTATAGAAAAGAAAATTTGGTAGAAGTTTACTTTAAAATACTTGTATGTTAAATGAAATTTTCGTAGTTAACACTTTGTGTTCGTTTTTGTATTTAAATCGTTTCTTTATATTTATTTATTTACTTTACTGTAACAGGTATGGATTGCCGGATAAGCCGCTGGAGTTGGGACGCGTTACACCTGGTACATACTGTACACGTCAATTCGACGAATGCTATCGTAACAAATGTCGTCTACAAAGCCCCAATTATCCAGGAATGTATCCGAGAAACGTTACTTGCTACTGGACGATACGCCAAAAAGAAGTTCCTACAAGTAAACATGCAATGATTGCAGTCAGTCAGGAAAATCAACACAAAGCGTTAGTGAAAAGGTACGTTGGAAGAATTCACTCGTGCAGCAACTTGCCTTAAATCCTTTAAATAAATATAAAAATTATTATGTCTTTTTTTGGTACTATTTTAATATAAAATATTTGCTCTGAGTCTGAGTAAAAAGCATCCAACTTTCTCATACCTCTGCGGGTCGTATAAAATTTTTGTTGCAATTTTTATGCATTAAAAGAACGTTCAAAGTAACCATACCTACGTTCCCATGCAGCGCAGTCCCACTAAAACCAATAAAATGCGTTTATTTATTCTACAAATTTCAATTTGCGAAGTAATAAAATGATACGCAAAAGCTGCTTATGCTATTTGATGTGTTTTGAATATAAAAGCGCAAAGATAGCATGATGACTCGAAGGGTAAACGGGTATACTATGGTCGAAAATACCAAATTCTGTTTGTTACTAAAAGTAATATAAATTTGTGCTTTTTTATAGTGGGCAAAATAATTGTTGGAAAGCTACATTTGCTAAATTGAAAATGTTTGCAAAATTAATCCGGCATTTAAATCAGAAGTAAATTGCATGGAATTAGTAAAAATCGCTGAATTCGACAATGCGAACATGACGTGACGCATGCACCACACGTTGCCACATATTCAATTTGATAAAACAACAAACTAAAAATATCTTTACTGATATTAAATAAAGTTTTTTTTTTTCGTTTTTTTAAATTGGCATAGGAATTACATTTAGCGATTAGATTTTAAATTTTACACCAATCAAGCGAATTTGCTACCAGTTTTAACGCGCGTTCAAGTCATTTTGTGCGCTTTTACCAAAAATGTGCAACATTCAAAATTTCAATCAAATAAATTTGGAATTTTTTTGTGGCAACAATTTTCCACATGCAGCAAAATGCAAGATGCATTCAGCTTAGTATCGTCAACGAACACGTTACTGCCCTGACATATAATGAAACATCTATTTTGAGTTGGTTTGGCCGTGTTGGCTGTTGGCGGGCGATACGTGATGCAACAACATACGTTGCATCTTTAAACGCAACTGTTGCAGCCATTATTGCCAATACTAGTGATTGTGTTGTTGGTTTTGTTGCAGTTGGTGCTATTTTTGTTGCATTTATTATTGCACTGAATTTATTCAATATTCAATTTGTTCGCATTGCACTGCAATTACATAGTTCACTTTGTCAATAGCGTAATGCGTATTCAACCATGTCTTCAATAAATGCAATTGATTAATTTGTAATTTAATTTAAAATTGCTTCCTTATTGTTGTTGTTGCTTGTACTGTTATTGCAGCAAAAGCAAGATTCGTTCACATTACGAATGGAAAAAAATTATAAATATAGCTCACACATAAATTTCTCATCTATTTTATTTTTATATGCTGCTGATTACTTAACAGGTCAATTGCTAGTTTTAATAAAACATCACGTTCCATACGTGCTTGGTCGGATTGCACGGGCGAAAGGGATCACTTGATATTTTATGATGGCAGCTCAACAAATGATCCTGTCTTAGCGAAATACTGTGGCGGTGATTGGCTTCCGAGAGTTGTTTCACGGTATGTACTCATATATACAATATTCCATTAAAAAATAATTCCACAGATCATCTTACAATGATTTATTGGATTTTTATTTCAATACAATAATAAAATTAAATGATTTATGATGTGCATTACTGAGTTGCTTAAAAAATTACTGATTGTCTTTTGATTTAATGGCAAATTGGTATAATTTTTGAACAATTTTAGTTTAATAAAAAATTCTATAAATATGAAAGTTCTAGAAGGGATTTCAATTTCAGTAATGAGGATAAAAAATGTTTACCTAATTATTTGGTTAACAATAATAGCATAGAAATAACACATTATATAAGTGGAACATATATAACATTAGTTTGCATTTAATTTACAATAGGTGTACTCATCTAAGCACATAAATTTAATAAATGTGTAATTTTATGCGTTTACATAGACGGTTATATGAACGCACTTAGTGAAATATTTGTGTTAATTTGTCAATCTGCTATATAATAGCACTATTTATATCAGCAATACTTATGACACCACAAAACGTAATGCTCAGCAGCGCAATTTTTGCCAATATTGATGCAATTTTAAATATTTGTGCAAATTTTATTGATCAGTGGTATTACTATCAATAAATTATAAAATGATAACTAAATAACTAAATTGAGCGAAAAGTTCAAACTAAAAAGCATTTACAAAGATATTTTTGTATATAATTTGCTTGTGCTGAAATACAACTCTGTATTGACAACAAATAAATTTATACGATATAAATTTATTCGGTAAAATTTTCATGTAAATTTATCAAGTATGTCTAAACTATTTTTCAAAAAAAGTTTATACTTCTTTTATCAAGCAGATAAATTTATACGTTTGTAAGATTTATAAGGCATTTATCAATTTAGATGAGTACTCCTAATATTTAAGTCAATTAATAAGATTTTTTTTATTATAAGGAAAAACAGATTTCACAACTTTTGAATTAATTGTTCAAATTTTTATACCACATTACTCAATAAGTCTTTGGTTTAACTAATATGATCTGTGAAGAGTATTATGTTGCAAATTATAAATGTCAAAATTACATGAAATTTTGATATTTACTTTATGTGTTACTGTCGTTTTGATGACAACAGTTTTCTAAATTACGAAAAAAATGGATACAAATGATTTTCATATTTTTATTGATTGGTTGATGTAATTGTATGAGACAAAATATTATAAATAATACGTATTCTATTGAAATAGTTGTCAAACCAATAATTATTTGTGCTAAATTTTAACGCGATCACGAGAACACCGATGACCACTCAAGACTGGCAATTGATCGGAAAATAATAACAAATCTATAAACTGTTTTTAAAAGGCCGTAAAGTGTAGTTGGTAGTTGCATGAGATAACTGACAGCTTAATTTAAGCATGCATAGTTGCTTCCTCAGTGAAATATATCGTTCACTACAGGTCGCTAATGATTCGGAGTGCTGTTTAAGCAAGAGGAACTGTTTAAGAAAGTTAAGATAGATCTCTTGCATCAGTATCTGATAAAGATTAAGATATAGATCCACCATGATAA